ACAGTCCTGGACCTGGAGAATTTTTTTCATTTGTGTCCTCTGAAGAGGGTCACTTAAAGTGGCGAGATGTTTACAACGTGTGTCGTAAATGAATTTTCTCCTAGGTGTGGGTTATTTGTGAATTGTTCCGGTCATGGTATTGTGCCTTTGTGTTTTTTTTACAGAGTGAGACTTATGCCGACTGCCCGTCTTGAGGTATATTTGTCACCTCCTGCCTTGGTACGGGACTTATCGAAATCGCTAGACCCACAAATTCAGGTCACTCTGAGACATGTGACCTTACTTATACCCTACGATGATTTCAGGGAACATGGGCCATAATCCCCGCGATCCGGGCCTAGACCAGCCATTCCACTTGTTAGTCTGATCAATCAGGCTGTTGATGCTGGTCACACACAGTCTAACATATGCGTCACAGCCCGGCTGATCGGGAACTGACTTTAGGAATTCGTCATGGTTTTTCTTGAAGACAACTGAAGGTTTGTTGGAAATTCCCCTTATGAAAAAAGGGAGGGCGATGAAGAGTCGAGGACCTCTGACATTTATCGTATTCTCTCTTAGTGTATTCATCGCATCCTTTCTTTTTACTGATTTTTTTTTTTTTTGCCCTGTTTGTCAAGTTACACTCTTTTTACTGCGTGATTTCAGTGGACAGGTTTAAAACCAGTCCCTTCAGGAATATCCAAGTTTAAATTATGGCGTACCTTTCTCGCCAACATTCCAGGGAATAGGGGTCAGGTCAAGGAGCTTCAAGCATTCACACCGATTCAGACCTACGAACGAATTTATGTGGGTCGTGAAGATTCGTTGTACGTTTTCAAGTTCGTCAAGATCTCCTGTCTTGAAGGGAGGCCGTTAGTACACAGCAATATCAGAGCCAGGAGAGGCAAAGTAAACTTAGGAGTGACACTGTTGGCTTGGCTTCTCTATTCTTTCAGTGTTCTTGATATCCAGCCTGTCATTTTCCTGGCAGCAGGGATTGTAACTCTGTAGTCGTTCTCGAATGTGAGATCCCCTTACATTATTACTCCCTGGTCTCACATATTGAATAGTCGCTCAATTGAGCTGTCTGAGTTTGTCTTGTATTCAATTTCAGCTGTTCTTTAGGGGAACAACTGAACAACAACAGCAATAATAATAATAATAATAATAATAATAATAATAATAATAATAATAATAATAATAATAATAATAATAATAATAATAATAATAATAATAAGAAGAAGAAGAAGAAGAAGAAGAAGAAGAAGAAGAATACTGAAAGTATGTATGCATTCACTATGCCAGGAGTTGTGACTCAGCCCCTGCAACCACAGACAGGTGAGAGAGAGAGAGAGAGAGAGAGAGAGAGAGAGAGAGAGAGAGGAGAGAGAGAGAGAGAGAGAGAGAGAGAGAGAGAGAGAGAGAGAGGAGAGAGAGAGAGAGAGAGAGAGAGAGAGAGAGAGAGAAGCATGCAAGTATACAGAGAGACGTGGTCAATACTCACAGGAGACATCCAGAGTGAAGATATCTTCCAGGGTGGCTAGAGGTAGTGTTGGATGCTGTGCTCGACACACCAGTTGTCTTCCATGGTGATCCCTAGCTACCTGCAGCAGCAGAACACTGACTGTCATGTTCTCACTCACTTGAACCTGCCGGCAGAGAAGGGAACACCGAGGCTCAGAGTGAACAAATAATTACAATGTAAATCTCATCTCTGTGAGAGGTTCCAGGGTTCAGTGAGCCCTAATAAAGAATTATTAAGCATCACATGAAACAGAGAGTAGAATGAAATTAGCTCACAGACACCCACACCACCGTATGTCCTCGGATCACGGTAACACACCTAGCTCTGCTGGGTGCCTGATTCTTGTAGGATTGAGTGATCCTGTAGGTTAGAGTGTAATGTGACTTAAGAAATCGTAATGACACGATTGCAAACAAACCATACCCCCGGCCGGGATTGAACCCGCGGTCATAGAGTCTCAAAACTCCAGCCCGTCGCGTTAGCCACTAGACCAGCTAGCCACAATAAGATTCATCCAACTAGGTATATTTCTACACCATAGGAAGGTTAGCACAGGCACCTCTGTGACCACAAATGCAAGTTTTTACAGACGAATCTCCAGCTAGCGTGGCCGTGACGAACTCTAGCTCAAGTCCCTTCACTGCCGTCAACATGACTTAAGAAATCGTAATGACACGATTGCAAACAAACCATACCCCCGGCCGGGATTGAACCCGCGGTCATAGTCTCAAAACTCCAGCCCGTCACAGAGGTGCCTGTGCTAACCTTCCTATGGTGTAGAAATATACCTAGTTGGATGAATCTTATTGTGGCTAGCTGGTCTAGTGGCTAACGCGACGGGCTGGAGTTTTGAGACTCTATGACCGCGGGTTCAATCCCAGCCGGGGGTATGGTTAGAGTGTAATGTGATTTTCGCTCACCATGAGGTGGACCAAAATGACATATATATATATATATATATATATATATATTATAAATATATAATATATATATATTATATATATATATATATATATATATATATATATATATATATATATTATATATATATTGTGCCTGAGAATTACGGACACGCCGTCTCGCTTGTTCAAAAAATTCAGCCAATTTTTGGTGCATTATTCTCTGCCAAAAATCTCAAGAGACTTTACATATCATTATGCAAAATAACATCATCAGTAGCGTCAAATTTTTGTTCTGTTAACGATATTTGGCTCTTAAAGGCAATAAAATTTTGGGTTATAAGATTTTTGGGGGGAGTGGGGGCGTGGGAGGGGGGGATGAATCTGCATTATGAGAGGCTTATGTGGCAGTATCTACACCTCATAACCAAAGCACCCGGGTTTGAACCTTAGCCAGGGGGAGACAACGGGTACATTTAAGTACACCTGCTACCCTGCGTTCACCTAGTAGTAAATAGGTACGTTATAACCAAGACTAATTTCACGGGTTATATATATATTTGCTATATATCCTAATGAAGTTTTAAAGGAGATATGTTCATAGTAATGTTTACTCCCAGATCTTTGTCTCTCTTTACCTTACGTTAAATATCCCGTGTCTGGTTTTCTAGTTAGATCTTATTATTATTATTATTATATAAAATATTTTATATATATATATATATTATATATATATATATATATATATATATATATATATATTTATATATATATATATATATTATATATATATATTTTATATATATTATTTTATATATATATATATATATAATTAGAGAGATAAATGCGAGTGTGTGTATGTGTTTTAATTGCAAGATAAAAGTGTTAAACCCACCATAAATAAAACCGAGAGAGTTGGTTTAGTCAAAAAACTGAAAATTAACTTAGGATAAGAAAACTTGCTTTGTATAAAAACTTTGATGGTAAAGCAATGGAAATACTTTACTTCTAATTTGAATTAACTTAAAGTTAGTGTTGGTTGGGGGACGCCACTTGGGACACAGTTGGAAGACCTAACTAACTCTCCACGCATACGTTAGCAGGTGTGTGTGTGTGGTGTGTGTGTGTGTGTGGTTGTGTGTGTGTGTGTGTGTGTGTGTGTGTGTGTGTGTGTGTGTGTGTGTGTGTTTTGTGTGTGTGTGTGTGTGTGTGTATGTGTGTGTATGTGGGGTTGTGTGTGTGTGTGTGTGTGTGTGTATGTGTGTGTGTGGTGTACTCATATTTGTACTCACATATTTGTGGTTGCAGGGGTCGAGTCCTAGCTCCTGGCCCCGCCTCTTCACCCGTTGCTACTAGGCCCTCTCTCTCCCCGCTCCTTTGAGCTTTATAAAACCTCGTCTTAAAACTGTGCATGGTTCCTGCCTCCACTACGTCATTTTCTAGGCTATTCCACTGCCTTACAACTCTATGACTGAAGAAATACTTCCTACTATCTCTCTGACTCATTTGTGTCTTCAACTTCCAATTGTGGCCTCTTGTTTCTGTGTCCCCCTTTCCCGGAACATCCTGTCTTTGTCCACCTTGTCTATTCCACGCAGTATTTTATATGTCGTTATCATGTTTTCCCTGCCCTCCTGTCCTCCAGTGTCGTCAGGCCCATTTCCCTTAATCTTTCTTCATAGGAATTCCCCTTAGCTCTGGAATAAACCTTGTTGCAAACTTTGTACTTTCTCTAGTTTCTTGACGTGCCTTATCAAGTGCGGGTTTTCCCAAAACAGGTGTGCATACTCCAGTATGGGCCTGACATACACGGTGTACAGTGTCTTGAATGATTCCTTACTAAGGTGTCGGAATGCTGTTCTCAGGTTTGCCAGGCGCCCCTATGCTGCAGCGTTATTGATTGATGTGTGCTTCCGGAGACATGCTCGGTGTTATACTCACCCAAGATCTTTCTCCTTGAGTGAGGTTTGCAGTCTTTGGCCACCTAGCCTATACTCTGTCTGTGGTCTTCTGTGCCCTTCCCCTATCTTCATGACTTTGCATTTGGCAGGATTAAATTCGAGAAGCCATTTGCTGGACCAGGTGTCCAGTCTGTCCAGGTCTCTTTGAAGTCCTGCCTGGTCCTCATCAGATTTAATTCTCCTCATTAACTTCACATCATCTGCAAACAGGGACACTTCTGAGTCTAACCCTTCCGTCATGTCGTTCACTATATACCAAAAATAGCACTGGTCCTAGGACGACCCCTGTGGGACCCCGCTCGTCACAGGTGCCCACTGTGATACATCATTACGTACCATGACTCGTTGTTGCCTCCCTGTCAGGTATTCTCTGATCCATTGCAGTGCTCTTCCTGTTATATGCGCCTGATGCTCTAGCTTCTGCACTAATCTCTTGTGAGGAACTGTGTCAAAGGCCTTCTTGCAGTCCAAGAAGATGCAATCAACCCACCCCTCTCTCTCTTGTCTTACTTCTGTGTGTGTGTGTGTGTGTGTGTGTGTGTGTGTGTGTGTGTGTGTGTGTGTGTGTGTGTGTGTGTGTGTGTGTGTGTGTTGTGTGTGTGGGTGTGTGTGTGTGTGTGTAATTTGTTCTGCAAAGTTTTGGTCGAGGTTAGGTAAGGTTAGGTTAGGTTAGGTTATGTTAGGTTAGGTTAGGTTAGGTTAGGTAAGGTAAGGTAAGGTAAGGTAAGGTAAGGTAAGGTTAGGTTAGGTTAGGTTAGGTTAGGTTAGGTTAGGTTAGGTTAGGTAAGGTAAGGTAAGGTAAGGTAAGGTTAGGTTAGGTTAGGTTAGGTTAGGTTAGGTAAGGTAAGGTAAGGTAAGGTAAGGTAAGGTTAGGTTAGGTTAGGTTAGGTTAGGTTAGGTTAGGTTAGGTTAGGTTAGGTTAGGTTAGGTTAGGTTAGGTTAGGTTAGGTTAGGTTAGGTTAGGTTAGGTTAGGTAAGGTTTGTCAGGAAACAGGACAAGTGTTTCCTGACTCGGGACTCAGTCATATGATGACCAGCAGCTGGAGCTTTTGGTCATCTGACAGAGACCTTCCACTGGCTTACCCCTCAACCCCTTTAAAACTTAAGGTTATATTATAACTTACATAATTATAACACAACGCAGCAAAAACACACAAAATAACCCACACATAGGAGAGAGGAGCTTACGACGACGTTTCGGTCCTTCATAGACCATTTACAAGTCACACTAACGCACGAGAGTGAGGGAGCCAGTATATATACGCTACATATATACTGGCTCCCACACTCCTTTCCCTCAGTGTGGCTCTGTAAATGGTCCAAATATGACCGAAACGTCGTCGTAAGCTCCTCTCTCCTATGTGTGGGTTATTTTGTGTGTTTTTGCTGCGTTGTGTTATAATTATGTAAGTTATAATATAACCTTAAGTTTTAAAGGGGTTGAGGGGTAAGCCAGTGGAAGGTCTCTGTCAGATGACCAAAAGCTCCAGCTGCTGGTCATCATATGACTGAGTCCCGAGTCAGGAAACACTTGTCCTGTTTCCTGACAAACCTTACCTAACCTAACCTAACCTAACTAACCTAACCTAACCTAACCTAACCTAACCTAACCTAACCTAACCGAACCTAACCTAACCTAACCTAACCTAACCTAACCTAACCTAACCTAACATTACCTTACCTAACCTAACCTTACCTAACATTACCTTACCTAACCTAACCTAACCTAACCTAACCTAACCTAACCTAACCTAATCTAACCTAACATAACTAACCTAACCAACCTACCTAACCTAACACTAACTAACCTTACCTAACATTACCTTACCTAACCTAACCTTACCTAACATTACCTTACCTAACCTACCTAACCTAAACTAACCTAACCTACCTAACTAACCTAACCCAACCTAACCTAAACCTAACCTAACCTAACCTAACCTAACCGAACCTAACCCAACCTAACCTAACCCAACCTAACCTAACCTAACCTAACCTAACCTAACCTAACCTAACCTAACCTAACCTAACCCAACCTAACCTAACCCAACCTAACCTAACCTAACCTAACCTAACCTAACCTTACCTAACATTACCTTACCTAACCTAACCTTACCTAACATTACCTTACCTAACCTAACCCAACCTAACCTAACCTAACCTAACCTAACCTAACCTAACCGAACCTAACCCAACCTAACCTAACCTAACCTAACCTAACCTAACCCAACCCAACCTCCTCTTTCCTTGGTTAAATTTAATTACTTCTATGACTATAATCACTACTATCACTATGATTATTATAATCACTAAGACTACGATTATAATAATTATATTACAACATTAAAAATATTAATAACGTATTTAGTCTACTTAGTTTACTATCGTTGTCTAAATTATTTTACTCTTCCTCTATTTCTTGCATGACCCTAGTGGGTTTAGCGCTTGGTTTTGATTATAATAATTCTAACTCTTGTCTGAGTGTTTAAATTACCTGTCCTTGTCTATGACCAAGAGTATTTTTCATGTCATGATCATGTCTCACCGGACCTCTTCTCATAGTCCCCTTAGTTCCGGTACAAATCTCGCTCGTGAGCCTTTGGATTTTCTCTCCTTATTCTAGCTAGCGCAGAATAATTTAAAATAGGCGCAAAGTACATTGTTAGGATTGTTAGGACTCTAGAAAACAGGTATATGTCATATATCCTACTGAACTTTTGAAGGAGATACACTCGTTGTAATGTTTACTCCCAGATCTATCTCTCTCTTTACGTTACGTTAAATATCCCGTGTCTGGTCTTCTAGTTAGATCTTATTATCATTGCTTCTGTATCACACTTTACGACATCTTCTGATTCCGGATGAATCAAAAGTTGCCACAGAGGGCATAGAGAAAGGCTGGACTTGAGAAAGACCTGCCAAGCATGGGCCAGAAAGCCACCTGCACTGCCCCTTCATGTTCCTGCTTTTTCGCTCTATTTTTCATACGTCTCTATTTTATTCTTTATCAGTATATGTTTTAATATCATTTTGATGTTTCTGTTGTTTATCTCTTTGTGTCTCTTCCAGAGCTGATGGGATATTTAGTTTATTGTATTTCCTTTTATTTATTGGTAGTGCAAATAATTGTGATTTCCCGAGATATAATTTATTTATCTCAGTGTGACTCACGAAATCGTAATGACACGATTGCAAACAAACCATACCACGGGTGGGGATAGAACATGCGGTCAGAGAGTCTCAAAACCTCGATTTTTGTTGCGCTCTCTCTCTCTCTCTCTCTCTCTCTCTCTCTCTCTCTCTCTCTCTCTCTCTCTCTCTCTCTCTCTCTCAAATTTTTCCTTGAGTTTTTGCAATATTCAACGAGGCATCAACAATCAGTTTTGTTGGTACCAAGTTTAATGAGTAAAGAAAACGCTCCAAGTTTTGGCCAGTTTGATGAATGTCTTTAATTAACGGCAGTGATTTAAACCAATAACAAAAAAAAACCATTTATTTTGGGAAAGACAACGCAACAGATGGCGGAGTTCGATAAACCTTTTTCGGCATTTTTTTTGGTTGTCTAAATAATGAGGGATGCGATGTTTGTTGATTATTTTTTTCATGAAAATGTAAAGAAAGAGCCAGGTCATCAGTATGAGATGTAAGCTAGTAGAGAGAAGAACCAGGGGGGACGTGACAACGACATACAAGATACTAAGAGGATTGGACAGGGCGGATGAGGATATTCTGCTGGAACTACGAGACAGAATGATGCACCGAAGAGCAGTCAGGCTCATTGGTAGGCGAGGAAGCTCTGGGAAAGGGGATTCAAGAGTTGAGGCAAGTAGACAGACAAATTGGTAGACAGACAGATTGGTAGACAGACAGATTGGTAGACAGACAGATTGGTAGACAGACAGGCAAGCATGAAGGAAGGCAAGCAGAAATAAAAAATAGACTGGACGTAGGCAGACAGGTTGTCACTAATTAAATCAGCCAGGCAGGCAGGAAGGCAGGCAGGAAGGCAGGCAGGAAGGCAGGCAGGAAGGCAGGCAGGAAGGCAGGCAGGCAGGCAGGCAGGCAGGCAGGCAGGCAGGCAGGTAGGTAGGTAGACAACAGGCAGTGATACAGGCAGTTAAACTGACAATCAAACTGTCAGGCGAGCATAGAACCAGGGAGAAATTCTGGAAGGCTACGAAAAACTTGCAGAACGATGGGAGATAACTGACAAGCAGAGGGACAGCAGACGAGTGGTAGGGAGGAAAAACACTTATCCAGAGCCCCTGGTAGAGAGAGAGAGGAGAGGAGAGAGAGAGAGAGAGAGAGAGAGAGAGAGAGAGAGAGAGAGAGAGAGAGAGAGAGAGAGAGAGAAGGAGAGAGAGAGAGAGAGAGAGAGAGAGAGAGAGAGAGAGAGAGAGAGAGAGAGAGAGAGAGAGAGAGAGAGAATGTGACACAAACAATAATGGACACAAAAAACAGGCCAAGTATCTTTATTGACAAGAGACTGTGACAAATAGTAACTACTACTACTACTACTGCTATTGTTACTACTACTATTAATACTATTTCTACTATTACTACTATTACTACTGCTGCTACAACTACTGCTACTACTACTACTACTGCTACTACTACTACTACTACTACTACTACTACTACTACTACTACTACTACTACTATTTCTGCAACTACTACTACTATCACTAATACCACTAATATTACTACAAACACAGACACACACACACTGACCTGGGTGTGTAGGGGCGTCACCTGCTGACCCTGTTGATACCAGGTGACCTGAGGAGGTGGGTTACTCCCTACAACTGTACACACCAGTTTGGCTAACCTGCCAGCCACTAGTGGTTTCTCCTCTGGCTCTATGCTCACACTCAGTGGTCCACCTACAAGTTTAGAGAACACTCTAAGAAGTAATGACGTGAATGTATGTAAGTGGGTGCAGGTACACGTAAATACAGATACATAAATAACACTGGTCAAGAAGGAAATAAATGGTATAAAATACCGACACAATGGAAATATAAACACAAATGCAGTATAATGTGATCCTTTATTGACAACGTTTCACCCACACAGTGGGCTTTTTCAAGTGTGTGACTTGAAAAAGCCCACTGTGTGGGTGAAACGTTGTCAATAAAGGATCACATTATACTGCATTTGTGTTTATATTTCCACTGGTCAAGAAAATTAATGCATCCGAGACCAGAGAATCAATTTCTAACTAATTTTTGGTCATTAATAATGATTATCATGGTTAAAACTGTTTGTTACCTCAACTTTTCAATATATACCTACGTGATAATTATCATACATTGTAAGAACATAAGAACATAAGAATGGAGGAACACTGCAGAAGGCCTACTGGCCCATGCGAGGCAGGTCCTTATCAAAACGACCACTACCTAAAGATACCCAAGAAATAACTCCCGTACCCAATGACACCAATCAATAAATTAGACACATGTGCAACTGAACATTAAAATGGTATAAAATACCGACAGATTGTTAGGTAAGACACATATGCAACAGTTAGGTATCTTTATTTCGAAACGTTTCGCCTACACAGTAGGCTTCTTCAGTCGAGTACAGAAAAGTTGATAGAAGCAGAAGATACTTGAAGACGATGTAATCAGTCCATCACCCTTAAAGTTTAGAGGTGGTCAGTCCCTCAGTCTGGAGAAGAGCATTGTTCCGTTGTTTCAGACAACGGAACAATGCTCTTCTCCAGACTGAGGGACTGACCACCTCTAAACTTTAAGGGTGATGGACTGATTACATCGTCTTCAAGTATCTTCTGCTTCTATCAACTTTTCTGTACTCGACTGAAGAAGCCTACTGTGTAGGCGAAACGTTTCGAAATAAAGATACCTAACTGTTGCATATGTGTCTTACCTAACACATGTGCAACTCTTGGGTATCTTTATTGAGGAAACGTTTCGCCACACAGTGGCTTCATCAGTCCATACGTAGGAGAAACTTGAAGAACTGGAGGAGAATGAGGTAATCAGTCCCTCAACCTTGAGTCGATGCGTTCAGTCCATCAATCTTGAATAGAATAAAGATACCCAAGAGTTGCACATGTGTCTAATTTATCAATATGTCGGTTCTCTGAACCATTCATCTACAAACACCAATCAAACCCAGCCCCTCCCACTCATATATTTGTCCAGTCTCTTCTTAAAGCTACCCAAGGTCCTAGCCTCTATCACCCCACTGGGAAGACTGTTCCACGCATCTACAACTCTGTTAGAAAACCAGTACTTACCTATGTCCTTTTTAAATCTAAATTTATCCAACTTAAATCCATTATTTCTGGTTCTTACCTGGTTCGACACCCTCAGTACTTTATTAATATCTCCCTTGTTTATGCCCGTCATCCACTTATACACTTCAATGATATCTCCCCTCATTCTACGCCTCTCCAGAGAGTGGTAGAATGAGGGGAGATATGAATAAATTACCCAGGGTAACCCAAAAAAGGTCAACCCAAAAAAAGGTCAATCCAACAAAGATCAACCCAAGAAAGGTCGGGCAAAGTGACTCACTTCTACTGGGATCCTTACACTTCTCGCCCACTTGACTGGTACCCTAATTTGCCTACTCGTGCGCAACGCATAACTCATCTTTTCTTTATGAAGTGTTTCCCTTGCGAAGCAGGTTTCTTCGGTCAAATACAGGCGAAGTGTTAGGTTATTAATCTCTCAGCCTTGATAGGAGGTGGTCAGTCCCTCATTCATAACCGGAGATTTGTGTCCAAACCATATATACTTTAGTAGAAGTCACAAATGGTACCTCTACTTCGATATATAAGGTATATATACTTTCAGTAACTTGTATTCATATACCTAGTACTTGTGCAAGAGAGGTATAAAATACCGACAATATGAAAAATGCACATGTGTCTTAACTTTCATACCTAGTACTTGTATCTTTTCTTAGAGTAAAGCCTATCAACAATACTTGTGTTTCTAGAAGCGTTAGGGTGTGCTAAGCATTTATAATTCACGATGACATCAAACCACGGAACGGGTGGGGTTCGAACTCACGGCGAGTGAGTGCTGACGCACTGGCCAGGAGTTTTACTACTCACTTGCCGCGAGTTCGAGCCCCAACCGTACCGTGGGTTAATCACTTATCAATTTCAACGAGTTTAGCTGCAATATACCTGCAACAGAAGGGATGTTGCATTTACAGAAATATGTAAATTATGTTAATTTTTAAGCATAATTTCTGGCTAATTGAAGAACTGAGACACTTATGCAACACATGGGAATCTTTATTTAAGAAACGTTTCGCCACACAGTGGCTTCATCAGTCCAATACAAAGTAGAAGTGGGTAAGGAGAGTAGAAGTTTGAGGTAATCAGTCCCTCAACCTGGAATCGATGTGTACAAAGACTTCTACTTTGTATTGGACTGATGAAGCCACTGTGTGGCGAAAAGTTTCTTCAATAAAGATTCCCATGTGTTGCATAAGTGTCTCAATTCTTCAACTTGTCGGTTTTCAAAACCATTCATCACTTCTGTCAGACACTGCAACATCATGGGATCTTGGTACAAAGACTTCAACGCTTGCCCAACCTTTGGACGACGACCTACTTACACTAGTGGCAGGTCCCACTGTGATCCCGCCTCCTCCTGCTTCAACTCATCTCACCGCAGTATATAAGCCACCTCTCTGGCCCTATGCTGCACTTACTACAAGAGTGATGGACTGAACACATCGATTCCAGGTTGAGGGACTGATTACCTCATTCTCCTCCTGTTCTTCAAGATTCTCCTTTGTATGGACTGATGAAGCCACTGTGTGGCGAAACGTTTCCTCAATAAAGATACCCAAGAGTTGCACATGTGTCTAATTTATCAACATGTCGGTTCTCTGAACCATTCATCTACAAACAGCTCTATACATCACTAGCAAGGCCTCATTTTACAGCTCTATACATCACTAGCAAGGCCTCATTTTACAGCTCTATACCTCACTAGTGAGGCCTCATTTTACAGCTCTATACATCACTAGCAAGGCCTCATTTTACAACTCTATACATGTTGAAGAATTGAGACACTTATGCAACACATGGGAATCTTTATTGAAGAAACGTTTCGCCACACAGTGGCTTCATCAGTCCAATACAAAGTAGAAATGGGTAAGGAGAGTAGAAGTTTGAGGTAATCAGTCCCTCAACCTGGAATCGATGTGTTCAGTCCATCACTCTTGGATGGACTGAACACATCGATTCCAGGTTGAGGGACTGATTACCTCATTCTACTCCTGTTCTTCAAGTTTCTCCTACGTATGGACTGATGAAGCCACTGTGTGGCGAAACGTTTCCTCAATAAAGATACCCAAGAGTTGCACATGTGTCTAATTTATCAACATGTCGGTTCTCTGAACCATTCATCTACAAACCAAGGACTGTTATGCTTTGCTGATGATCCAGTAGGAATCGTAACAGCGTCTAATAGTTCCCCACAGAAAACAATTCAACCACATCGAGACTATTTCTTCTCAACCACTAATTGACTTACAGTTGACATCTCTTTGATAAGTAGCAATTAACGGAGCAGTAACATCGTTATTGGAGGCTTTACAGGTGAAGGGTGAAGTGAGGTCTTTCCTGGAGGCTGGCACCTCCAGGTCGTTATAGGCAATGCCTCCCTCCCCAGCAGTGCTGTTTGAGTCCACTGTCTGACCATCTTGCAACCATACCACCCTGGCCAAGGGTGTTCCTGCAACATACAAAAAATGAACAATATACTTTCATTTACGTTAATGTAAAAATTAATAATTTTGTTCCAAAAGAACCTTAGAAAACTTACCTAACCTTATAACAAGCTCAGTTTAATTTAGCCTAATTAAGCTAAATATATTCTAGATAAGTTTACAATAATCTAATAATAAACACAATGAAATATTTTTTTATTGGTTAGGGTCAGAGTGATTTTTGCGAAAATATTGCACACACAAATTTTTACTTACCTTATTCGGCAAGAAGAACGTTGCTATTTAAGTCAAAATCGCAAGTTTTACATATTCGGCAAAGAATAATATATATATATATATATATATATATATATATATATATTTATATATATATATATATATATATATATATATATATATATATATATATATATATATATATATATTTTCAACAAGTTGGTCGTCTCCCACCGAGGCAGGTGACCCAAAAAAGAAAGAAAATCCCCAAAAAGAAAATACTTTCATCATCATTCAACACTTTCACCACACTCACACATTATCACTGCTTTTGCAGAGGTGCTCAGAATACAACAGTTTAGAAGCATATACGTATAGAGATACACAAATATCCCTCCAAATGCCAATATCCCAAACCCCTCCTTTAAAGTGCAGGCATTGTACTTCCCATTTCCAGGACTCAAGTCCGACGATAAGAAAATAACCGGTTTCCCTGAATCCCTTCACTAAATATTACCCTGCTCACACTCCAACAGATCGTCAGGTCCCAAGTATGATTCGTCTCCATTCATTCCTATCTAACACGCTCATGCACGCTTTCTGGAAGTCCAAGCCCCTCGCCCACAAAACCTCCTTTACCCCCTCTTTCCAACCCTTTCGAGGACGACCCCTACCCCTCTTTCCTTCCCCTATAGATTTATATGCTTTCCATGTCATTCTACTTTGATCCATTCTCTCTAAATGCCCAAACCACCTCAACAACCCCTTTCGCCCTCTGATAATACTTTTTTTAACTCCACCCTTCCCAAATTTCCACACCCGAATTTTGAAAATATTTACACCAACTTTGCCCCTTAAACAGGACTCTCCACTGCCCCCAAAACCGTCCTCCTCGCTGCTGCTTTTACCCCCC